GAACATCGAATTAAACCTCAAGATCAATGATATTTCTCAAAACTTCTTTAAACATCAAATTTGCATTTAAGGTCCGAATCACGTCAAACCGATTCCGTTTCTTACCAAACTTCACAGAATTATCTTAAATCATATATATGACCTGTACCGGGCGCCGGAACCAAAATACGGGCCCGATACCAACATGTTCTAATCAAAATTCATTTCCAAACCTTATAAACTATTCTAGAAAATAATTTTCTTAAAAAATTTATTTCTCGGGCTTGGGACCTCGGAATTCAATTCCGGGCATACGCTCAAGTCCTATATTTTCCTACGGACCCTCCGAGACCGTCAAATCACGGGTCCGGATTCATTTACCCAAAATGTTGACCGAAGTCAAATTAATTTATTTTATAGTCAAAATTTATTATTTTTCACAAATTAAAATAATAAATTAACACTAAAGATACTACAGGTTGGAAAAAAGATTAAGGAGGTCTAGAGTTATGATTTCCCTGATTGCCGGAATCCTTTCCGCTATGTCTTCTATAATTTCGCTTAAGTATTCTCTACCGATCATGAGCGCTCTGCGTGTTGTAATTCTCTCCCGAGTAATTACCATAATTTACTACACATACTCTCCCGAGTTACGCTAGCTGGCTTTAATTACAACTCACTTAGATCGAACCCAAGGTTTCATTATCCCTAATCCCACTTTTAAACCCTTGGTTATTGATTCCTCACATACGTCGGGAGTAATGTTGTTCAACAACTACCTAAATATGCACACTCTCCCGAGTAATACATACTAAATAGGTACAACTAATTGAGAGCTCTTCAACCAACCATAATAATTACGTAGTTGAACAAATAGAGAAAATACTATGTCAAATCTATATTAACGTAACAAGAAAATCATCCTTCAATAGGTTCCATCAAAACCCTAGATAACAAATTAGCTATTCATAATAGTATGCATAACTACAATACTAGAATTCATAACCAATAATGGAAATAGGAAGAAGGAAGTGAAGAACTCGTAGAAGAATTCTCCACCTTGCTCCTAGTGTGTTCTTGCCTCCTTAGGTCGAATCCCCGGTCTCCTTGGCCTCCTTAGGTCTAAATTATGTCAAAAGTATGTCAAAGGTCCTCAAAATACCGTTTTTTCATGTATATTTACCAAATAGGGTCGGGCCCAAATAATTCCACCTTCTCTTACGGGAAAAAGGACACATTTCCCGGACAGGACGTGCGTGGCCGCGCTTGGACCGCGCATATCCACTTTGATTCTGCCTGACGAACGCAGCCTGAGCGCGGCCGCACACTTGACGCGCACTTGTCATCCTGTTCTGTTTAGAACTTGGAAAAACGTAAAACATGAAAGTTGTATCCCTTTGAGTTATCTTTCCAACCATATATTGTGGAGCCCAAATGGAGTTTTGAGCTAAAAGTTATGTGCATTTTACTAGACAGTGCATAATATGCCTACTCGATTCTTCGTTCGTTCTTAATTATCATCCGTTGATCCCCGAACACGATCCCGGCTTAATTCCTTGGGATTTTACTCAGACTTCAAAGCTCCAAATCACTTGAATTCATTCCATAACCTCTACATAGCTTGGAATCACTCCTACAAAGCATAAAACACATAATTAGTGCAAAACACTAGCAATTAAAGCGCAAACTCAATTAAAGTGCGGTAAATTAGAGTGTAATAAGCGACTAAAATACGCAATTATAGCCTATCATCACCTCACATCACACAATGCACATGATTCACTCCGGACGGTTCAGACCCGACACTCAAGCTAAACAACTAAGCATAGTCATTATATTAACTCACCATATGGAAAGTAATCACAGGATTCAACAAATGAACTTAAGCGTCAAAGGAAAGTCACATATATTCTCAAGGCATGTGGGCACATAGAACACGAAAAAGATAATCAGTTCAAATATTACAGCTCTAAGTCCCGGCATAAAACATGTCACAAAATACAGATACTCAAGTTCTTCTCATTCCATTATCGGTTCTAAAAAGAAAAGAATTTTTTTGTTGTATTTTTCTAGACTTTACTCCCTCAAGAAAACTATCTAAGAAATCCATCGTCAGGAAAAGTCTAAAACTTTTATGAAAATTCTATCTTCAAAAAAAAAAAATACTACCTGATTCAAAGAGTCATCCCTTGAAAAAGAATCGTGGCACTATTTTGGCACCCGGTTTAATATTTTGGCACTATTCAAATTAAAGTTGTATTTCCAAACACTTCAAAACTTCACATATCATTCCACTAACTATACTTTCTAATAAAATTAAATGAAGTTTTCCATTAGCTAAACTTTGATCTGATTTTTTTGGTCAAATGAAATTCTAGTCATTAATTCAGTATCTTCACTTATAATTCATATATCATAACAATTAAAATGAATAAAATTATTCACTTACTAATTTAATACTTTGGCACTTTTCAAAATTAAAATAAACACACTTCAAAACCTCACATATCATTCCACTAACTATACTTTCTAATAAAATTAAATGAAGTTTTCCATTAGCTAAACTTTGATCTGATTTTTTTGGTCAAATGAAAGAGATTTTTACATTCCTATACCATATAAGAAACCTTATTACCCTCAATGTTTAAGGCTTGATATAATTATATTTAGTATACCAAATTACCAGTCCTATACCATATTGTATTTTAAAGGTACAATTAATGCAACGTATATCCCTCCTTAATTCAAGGTACTGTATATCCCACCCCTCCCATGTTTCTCTCTCCCAAACCCTCACCCTCACCCACGTTTTACTCGAACACACGTTCTTTTTACCCCCTTTTCCCTTTTCTAAAACCGCAGAAACATCGTTAACCCACCATGAAAGTTCAATTTAAAATTTTTTCGTCTACATTCAGTGAAAAAAATGCTATGTCTTTTACGCCAAAAACCCACGCCCTACACTGGAAAGGGGTCTCTGTTGGCAGCCTCGGGTTATAAAAACTTCATAAATGGCAATGTCTTTTACTGCAGAGTAACCTTTAGTATGTACTTCTGCTTCATGCAAACCAATTGACTTAGTTGGCTAGTCAAGATCTGAAGATCTCCTTGTTTCCAACTTTTTTTTTTTAATTTAATCTATGACCACCAACTCCTTTTTGGTTATTTGCCATTTGTTTAACTAGAAAGAATTTCCCTGGCAATTGTTTTTGTTTTCATCTCTTTTAGGGGTGTGGATGTTGATTTTTAAAGTTAAAACGGATTTTCGACATAATTGCATTTTTTGCAGAAGATTTGTAAAGTTTTAGTCGTTTTTGATTTGTGAAAACAGAAAACAAAGCATCTACAATCAGAATACAAATAATCTATAATTTATCTACAAAATATTTATAAACTGGGTACATTGAATTTTAATATCCCAATTCCCATTCAATTGTAGCTTAATTAGTATTTTCGACATAATTGCGTTTTTTGCAGAAGATTTTGTAGAAGTTTTTTAATCGTTTTGAATTTGTGAAAACAGAAAATAATGCATCTACAATCAGAATACAAATAATCTACAATTTATCTACAAACTGGGTACATTGAATTCTAATATCCCAATTCCCATTTCAATTGTAGCATAATTGGAATTTTCGACATAATTGCATTTTTTGCAGAAGATTTTGTAGAAGTTTTAGTTGTTTTGGATTTGTGAAAACAAAAAATAATGTATCTACAATCAGAATACAAATAATCTACAATTTATCTATAAAATATCTACAAACTGGGTACATTGAATTTTAATATCCCAATTCCCATTTCAATTGTAGCATAATTGAGATTTTCGAATAATTGCGTTTTTTGCAGAAGTTTTAGTCGTTTTTGATTTGTGAAAACAGAAAATAAAGCATCTACAATCAGAATACAAATAATCTACAATTTATCTACAAAATGGGTACATTGAATTTTAATATCCCAATTCCCATTCGATTGTAGTTTAATTGGAATTTTCGACATAATTGTATTTTTTGCAAAAGATTTGTAGAAGTTTTAGTCGTTTTTGATTTGTGAAAATAAAAAATAAAGTATCTACAATCATAATACAAATAATCTACAATTTATCTACAAAATATCTACAAACTGGGTATATTGAATTTTAATATCCCAATTCCCATTCGATTGTAGTTTAATTGAGATTTTCGACTAGACATAATCTTAAAGATTCATTATAGAATTCTCAATTATAGATTGAGGGAAATGTTAGAAAGCTACATCAACTACTTTGTCGAGTTTGAAAAATACTACCTAGTGACATCAACTATTAGATTTGTCAACTTATTATTTTTCATGAAAAAAAAATATAACGATATTTTCAGCTACAAGTTTAAGTGAGACTATAAGCAGAAAGATTAGGTGAAAATAGGAACAATTTTCAAAAGCCGGTCTCATACTCTGTCTCTCTGATTATTCACGTCATTTGATCTCTCAAAGAGAAAAAAAATAATTAGAGATATCTAAATAAGGAATTTTAATACTATAATGATTCCTTATTTAATGAAATATCTGGAAGAATATTTACTTCCATAATTATAGCGCGCCTAAATAGGAATACCTGGAAGAATATTTAGTTCCAGATTTGTAGCGCGTCTAATTAGGAAGGAATCAGCTCCTAATAATTGGTATTTAATAAATGGTATAATATTTGTAGAATAACTGTAAACATGGCGGGTAAATATGAAACTGTGCATATTTTTAATAATAAGATTTCATATATGATATAAGAAGGAAAAAGTCTCTTAATTCAATATCTTACTTATAATTCATATAGCATAGCAGTTAAAATGAATATGCTAAACGTTGACCAAGTCAAGATTATGTAACATAAAACGTGATATGGGAAGATCATAAAGTTTGGTAATAAAAGTAGTGTTGAAGTGTAGCCCCATAGATTTAAGAAAACAAAAAATAAAAAGAGAAACAGAAGTTGTTTGGCAATATACGTATTAGTGGGACGTGGCTTTCATTAATATAAGCGAGAACAGACAATCCAAAAGGCTAGAACTAGCATTTGTAACAGTTCACTGCTCTTCCATTTCCCTTGTAGGGGTGTGTGTGACCCTTTGTCTGCTTACAAAATCCTCTACTTGTTTACTCTAACAAACTCCACTCTTTTCTTTCCCTACTTCACCAAAATTGTGTTGCTTTAGAGAATTCTGTTGATGGTTCTTTTGATCTGAGACAGTTTTTGACAGAAGGCGAAAGAACAAGTTTAAAGAAAGATGGGAGAGAAGCCTGAAGTGTTGGATGCTGTCTTGAAAGAGACTGTTGATTTGGTAATGGATGTTTGAATGAATTTTTTGTAGTGGGGACTTATATATTTTTTCCTTCTTGACAGTTTTTTTTATGTTTTGTGTTTGCAGGAAAACATACCTATTGAGGAAGTTTTTGAGAATTTGAGATGTACTAAGGATGGACTTACTGCTACTGCTGCACAAGAGAGGTTGTCCATTTTTGGGCACAACAAGCTCGAGGAGAAGAAGGTGTCTTAATTTTATCTTTGCTAAATTTTCATAATTTTTCTTCTTCTGGGCTATTTTCAACTGCAATTCTGCTCCAGCCTTTCCTTTTTTCTTTAATTATTTCTCCAACTGTCAATTTGCTCATTTATAGCTTTAGTTCCTTAAGTAGAAGAAGGGTTTTAATTTACGGTTTTTGTTACCTATCATAGCTGGACTGTAATAAAGGCTTAACCTGTTCATGATATATGTAGTGCTCCTACCTAGTGCTGGGTAAAAGGTAGAGACTAGAGAGTAATTGTTTATTTGGTGTACTATTACAGGAGAGCAAATTCTTGAAATATTTGGGGTTTATGTGGAACCCTCTCTCATGGGTTATGGAAGCTGCTGCTATCATGGCTATTGCTCTTGCTAATGGAGGAGTAAGAACTCAGCTTTCTAAATTACTACCGTTCTGTTCATTTTTTTTGTTGGTTCTAGTGATCTCAGTGCAAGATATGTGGACTCTTCTTCTAGGGAAAGCCTCCAGACTGGCAGGATTTTGTGGGTATCATTACATTGCTTATAATCAACTCCACAATTAGTTTTATTGAGGAGAACAATGCTGGCAATGCAGCAGCTGCCCTAATGGCTCGACTTGCTCCGAAAGCCAAGGTACTTGACATGATTTCTATCTCCTGTCACCATTTGACTGCAAATAAACCTTGTTGTCTTTCAAACATAAATAGATGAATATGTCTAGTTAGAGTTTTGTCCTCAATTGTCTGAATGGTTGCACTTGTCTTTGTGGAGGTCCTTCGAGATGGAAAATGGAAGGAGGAAGATGCTGCTGTTCTCGTGCCTGGGGACATAATCAGTATTAAACTGGGAGATATAATTCCAGCTGATGCTCGCCTTCTTGAGGGTGATCCGCTCAAAATTGATCAGGTGATTAAATTTGATGATTTCATAGAGTATCTGCATTCATTCTACTGTTTTCCTGGCAGTTTCACTGTACTTGTCTCTCAACTTGCAGTCTGCTTTGACTGGTGAATCTCTTCCTGTAACAAAAGGTCCTGGAGATGGTGTCTACTCTGGTTCCACGTGTAAGCAGGGAGAGATAGAAGCTGTAGTCATTGCTACAGGGGTTCATACCTTTTTTGGGAAGGCAGCTCACCTTGTCGACAGTACAAACCAAGTGGGACACTTTCAGAAGGCAAGTAGAGTCTTTACTCTGATATTCGATGCAATCGATCTTGATTATCTGATTTTAATGAAATCTTACATTGCAAAATGATATTTATGGTGTTCATCAGGTTTTGACTGCTATAGGAAACTTCTGCATCTGTTCAATTGCTGTGGGGATGATAATTGAGATTATTGTGATGTACCCTATCCAACACCGCAAATATCGTCCCGGGATAGACAATCTTCTTGTTCTTCTGATTGGTGGGATTCCAATTGCCATGCCAACTGTTCTCTCAGTCACAATGGCAATCGGTTCTCATCGTCTTGCTCAACAGGTTTGTTAATATGCAGGGGCTCTTGAAGTTTTGAGCTATGGTAGTTTGGCCTTTCTGCTATGTGAATGCTTGTTTGATCAATTTGTCTATACAGGGCGCCATTACGAAAAGGATGACGGCTATAGAGGAGATGGCTGGCATGGATGTTTTGTGCAGTGACAAGACGGGAACCCTAACACTGAACAAGTTGACTGTTGACAAATACCTTATCGAGGTGAGAATGTTAGAGTTCAGCCCAATGCGTGATTGCTCGTATACTTGTTCCAGTAGCAGAGTGATTTTCTTTTGTTTGTTCTTGTTAATTTTTCAGGTATTTGCCAGAGGTGTTGATGCAGACACTGTAGTTCTAATGGCAGCTCGAGCCTCTCGAACAGAGAACCAGGATGCCATTGATGCTGCTATTGTTGGGATGTTGGCTGATCCAAAGGAGGTAATTTTTAGCGCTGTGTGACCTTATGATTAATGTGTACACCCTAGCCGGGAGATTGCTCTAAGAGTTGCCATAAATATAGGCACGTGCTGGCATTCGTGAAATACACTTCCTTCCTTTCAATCCAACTGATAAACGAACAGCACTTACTTATCTTGATGGTGAAGGAAAAATGCATAGGGTCAGCAAAGGTGCACCGGAACAGGTACTTTGGTTATCACACTTCGCAGTCCTCCTTTGCAAGTTTTTACCTTTGTTTGCATTTTCTAATCCACAGCTGCAATATGTATTCAGATTCTACATCTTGCACACAACAAGTCAGATATAGAACGTAGAGTTCATGCAGTGATTGATAAGTTTGCTGAGCGGGGTTTGCGCTCGCTTGCTGTGGCATATCAGGTATTTTCATTTTCTTCTTTCCAGAACTTATCATGTTATATATAAGTTGAATAGACCAAATCCACAGCTTTGGTTTATAACCTATTGCCTCCAGCAAAGGAGATGTAGCGATCAATTCTCTTTATGCCCAATTCCTATTCTTGTTGCAAACAAAAGTTTTATCTGTTTGATTATGCATGTCTTCCGAGATCCGTGCAGGAAGTTCCAGAGGGAAGAAAGGAGAGCGCTGGGGGACCATGGCAGTTCATTGCTCTCCTACCTTTGTTTGATCCACCTAGGCACGACAGTGCTGAGACTATAAGGAGGGCTTTAAACCTTGGAGTGAATGTCAAAATGATCACAGGTATTATATGGTTTCTCAGTTTAGACTATCCCATTCAATGTGTTGAGATATTTTCTGCAAATTGAATGCATACTGTGTTGGTAACTGGTATTGACTGCTATGGATTCTTACTGCCGCTCCCTGGGGCCAGAGAGAGAGAGAGAGAGTTAGAGGAAATGGTGTATTGGATCAGATGAGATGCGATTTCCTAATTGTCACTAAATTAAAATGGTAATGTACTCTGCTCTGAACCCTTGGTTGGACAGCATGATTGACAGAGTTGGATCTATAGATACTACTCTTGATTCTGCCCTGGGAAAGGTAAATGCTGAATTTGCTGTCCTTTTTCTTTTCTTTTTTACTATATTTTGTTCTGGCTGAGGAGTGAGGACAATGAGTAAAAGTTGGATTGATGGAGTAATTTCCATCTGAGGCATTATTTTGTCGTGTGGCTGCTTGACGCTGTAATTGCATGTATCTTGCCGTTTCATTTTAATATGTTAATAAGAACTCTCCAACCTCTCATTGTTGAACTTTGAACACTAATAATTTTGATCATCAGCCTGTATTTTTCTATATTGCTTAGTGTTTGTACTTTTCCAGGGGATCAACTGGCAATTGGAAAAGAAACTGGGCGCCGTTTGGGTATGGGTACAAATATGTATCCTTCATCTGCTCTGTTGGGACAGACTAAGGATGAATCTATCTCTGCTTTGCCAGTTGATGAACTTATAGAGAAGGCTGATGGTTTTGCTGGTGTTTTCCCTGGTACATTGTTTTTTGATTAACTCTTTTGCATATGTAGTTGTGCTCTTCAGTATAGAACTTTGGTTATAAAGGACAATTGGCCTTTGCTGATACCCTTGTCTTGGTCATTACTATAGAGCACAAATATGAGATTGTAAAGCGCTTGCAAGCTAGGAAGCATATCTGTGGTATGACTGGTGATGGAGTCAATGATGCTCCTGCTCTAAAGAAAGCTGATATTGGGATTGCTGTTGATGATGCCACTGATGCGGCTCGTAGTGCTTCTGATATTGTCCTTACTGAACCTGGTCTTAGTGTCATCATTAGTGCTGTTTTGACCAGTCGAGCAATCTTTCAAAGGATGAAAAACTACACGGTATTCTTTTTTCTTTTTGGGGTTGGTTCAGAAGTGTAATATAAAATTGTTATTTTACAGACAATGACTTGGATTCTTAAATGAGCTTAATGCTCTTATTCTGTCTCTGAGCTATGATATGGATAACTCATCTGATTATGTATATCATGCATTGACAGATATATGCCGTTTCTATCACAATCCGTATTGTGGTAAGTTATTTGCAACTGCTTCATTCTTTATCCTGTCTATCTTATGTTTCAGGGTCAAATGCATCTTGTACTCTTTTCACCCTTTTCTTTAATTCAATGTCACAGCTTGGTTTTATGCTTCTGGCTCTGATATGGCAGTTTGATTTTCCGCCTTTCATGGTGCTTATCATTGCAATTCTTAATGATGGTTAGTCTTTTCACCGACAGAAATATATCTGATACTTAAGCCTTTAATCTTTTATCTCGACCTCTAATATAGGACGATATTAAAAGTATGGGGTGAGTTTAGAACTGAAATGTTATTAGCCTAATTTTGCTGTAGTTGTTTCTTCCAATGTGTGCAGCACCTCTCTGGTTTAGTATCTCATCCGTGTATTTGTTTCTGCTCAAGTCTTTACTCAGTGTGTTATCTAACTACCAAACATTAACAATATCAGGTACCATTATGACAATATCGAAGGATAGGGTCAAACCATCTCCACTGCCTGATAGCTGGAAACTGGCTGAGATTTTTACTACTGGAGTTGTTCTTGGTGGCTACTTGGCAATGATGACGGTCATTTTCTTTTGGGCAGCATACAAAACAAATTTCTTCCCGGTGAGCCTACCTGTATCCAATACATTAAAAAGTTATGAGCGATGGTGTGATGCAGGCCTTCCCAATTGTTGAGTGCTCCACATTTAGTTGCCCTTTTAATTGTTTTAGAATGGACATATAAGAGATGCAGATGACCTTTCTAGTACATGCAAATAGATATTATTTCTTCTATCTAATTTAACCAAGTGTACGAAGGAGATATTATAAGCAATCCACAGACGTACAGACACACATTTAGTGGCCATTTTTATCTTATGAACAACAATATAAATTTTTGATCTCACCCATGCTGCATACATTTTCCTTATGCTAAACAATCTCTTGTATTTGCTGTTCGGAATATTTAGATGTTGAAGTAGGGTGTTAATGTTGGGCCACTCTTTATTTTATATCTAACTTAATTTGGTGAATTTCCAGCGAGTATTTGGGGTATCAACACTTGAGAAAACAGCAACTGATGATTTTAGGAAGCTCGCCTCTGCAATTTACCTTCAAGTAAGTACTATCAGTCAGGCCCTGATATTTGTCACAAGATCTCGAAGTTGGTCGTTTATGGAGCGTCCTGGGTTGTTGCTAGTGGTTGCTTTTCTGATTGCTCAACTGGTGAGCCATCTGCTGCTTATTTATTCTAGCAAATTTCCCATAACTTCATGTATCATCTAACATTTGGGAACTAAATATGCACAGGTTGCCACCTTGATTGCTGTTTATGCAAATTGGAGTTTTGCTGCAATTGAAGGAATTGGCTGGGGTTGGGCTGGAGTGATCTGGCTCTACAATATTGTGTTCTATCTCCCGCTAGATTTGATCAAGTTCTTCATCCGTTATGCTCTCAGTGGGAAGGCCTGGGATCTTGTTATTGAGCAAAGGGTATGAATTGGGGAAAATAAAAAGAAACTTATGAGTCACTCCTGCTCCTATTCTCTATTTATTATATTATGGTATTTGATGTCTCCGTTATTTTTATTTCTCTTCAGATTGCTTTCACCAGAAAGAAGGATTTCGGGAAAGAACAGCGTGAGCTTCAATGGGCACATGCACAGAGAACCCTGCATGGCCTCCAAGTTCCAGACCCCAAAATATTTAGTGAAACTACCAATTTCAATGAGCTTAACCAGTTGGCTGAGGAAGCGAAGAGGAGAGCTGAAATTGCTAGGTAAGCGTCATTTGAAATAGGGGCTCTTTTTTGGCATCAGGAGCAAAGTCCATGAGTTTATTTATCATTAGCTGAATTTTTGTCCGGGACTTGCATTTGTTGGCTGGCTTTGCACTCTATTCCCTTTTACGCATATGGCCATCATCGTCAATTGCATTTGCCGTTATAGCTTAATTTTTCTCAATTCATTTTTAAAGCTATACTGAACAAATTGTGGGTTTTCTAAAATCTTAACTGCCTTTTTCAATTGCAGGCTACGTGAGTTGCACACACTGAAAGGTCATGTCGAATCAGTGGTGAAGTTGAAGGGTCTTGACATTGAGACAATTCAGCAGTCATACACTGTTTAAGTGGAAAGTCTGTTTGGGAGGTGTAGTTAGGTGTGGTGATGGCAGCTAAAATATCAATGTCATAGTTAGTTACGGTTGAAATAACATGTTCATATTAGTGACATCTTCAGCACTTACCAGTGCCTTATAGGTTACTTTTACTTTTGAAGTTCTTATTTTTGCCCTTTCCTGCCTTTGTGTCCTAGCTCCTGTAGATGTAGCAGTAGTAACCCAGTCCAGAGTGTGAACATCAAGTTATGCCTGCATTCGATGTCTATATTCGTGAAAGCTTTTCTCTCATTATATATCGTATTTGGCGTCCACTATATGTTGTGCTGGTTTGCCTTCATTTCCTGGCTTCATATACACTGAGAGCATTGTGTCTCCTGCTATTGTTGGCTTCATTCTTCAGCTTAATGTTAGGCTCTTTGTTTTTCCCCCTGTTCCTTTTAGGTTGATATTCAGTCACGTAAATAACCATTGATGGCTCATAATTATCAATATGAAGAAATAGCCTTTCCAGTTCCAGTAGTTCTTGCACTTTCCTCGTTACTCTAGCCTACACTACGATTTCCATCTATTCTTTTCTTTCACATTCATACAGAAAGCATTTTTAGTTTTACTTATTTTCTTTCTAGTTAATATTTGATGTCACACGTACTTTTTCATGATTGTTTTTGTGTGTGTGTGTGTGTGTGACCCCTCTGCTGGATGTGAGTTCATTGACAAATTCTTTCATAAATAAATTATCAGTTGGGTAATCCCCTAATTAAGAGGCTTAGTACCACTCAGAACCCAACTGTGGTTAAAAGCTACTACTACTATGATAATTAACTCTTCCCAACACTATTTAAATTTCAACAATAGGGGGGAGATCAATGGAGGCGTGGATTTAATGCTGCTATTTCGTTCTAGACTTCTAGTTTTCCTAAACTTATTTCAAAGCGAATGGATGCTAACAAATTGTGTAAGAGACTTATCCATTTGGTTTGATCCTTAAATTAGAATCAGACGAAGTGTTTCTCAACATTTTGCGTTTCCATTTCCAGTCCAACGCTGCTAGTTTCATCATTTCCCTTGTACTTGTACCACCTGGCACATATTATGAAATAGACAACATTAATGATTCCCAGTGCTGTAATCAAGAAATAGAAGTAATCCAATCTCCCTTTGTTAAGGTCTTCCGGTAGCCAGTTACCAGTTTTAGCCTTTTCTGTTGTATGGTGTACTATAGAGATCAAGAAACTATTCAAGTAACTGGAAGCAGCCATTCCCAAGAAGAAGAAAGATCCTGCTATGCTTCTCATGTTTTCTGGGAATTGCTTGTAGTAGAATTCCACTTGTCCAATGGCACAAAATGCCTCTGCAAGTCCTGCTAAGGATAACTGAGGAACTAACCATAGAGCTGACATAGAAGAAACTAAACCTCTTTCTGAATGAACCCCTACTGCTGGATTTGTGAAAACTAGTTTTCTTCTTCGTTCCTCGATAAAGGCAGATACTAGGGATGATACAACAATAAGGAATATGCCAATTCCCATTCTTTGAAGGATTGTTATGCCACCTTCTTTACCAGTGAGTCTTCGGAGTAATGGGACGATGATACGGTCATATATGGGTAGCCAGAGAGTGAGACTTAACATGGAGAAAATAGTGTAAGTTGCTGCTGGAATTTGGAAGTTGCTGTTGCCAAGATGTCTGTTTGATTGTAGTGCTTGAAAGACAACAAACTGTTGCTGCTGAATTATTCCAACATGGTACACAATTGCTGCAGCCCAAATGGGAATTACTCTAACAACACATTTTGCTTCTTCCACTTGCTGCAGACTGCACAAGTTCCATTGATTGGCCGCTGATCCATCTGATTTGATTTGGTCTTCTTGTGTTACAATTGCAGCCTTGTCAAGAAACCTTATAACACAAAATTTAATCAGTTAAAGATTATAATAAACAGGAAAAAACTATGTTGCTCGGAGACTCTGAAAATGTAACCAGATACGTTTCGGATCCTCCAAAAGTAACGTATTTTTGGAGGATCCAACACGGGTGCAACGACAGTTAGGAGAGTCCGTGCAACATAGGGAAAAAATGACATAATCTATCATTAAAGATTATGTTAGGTCAGTTAATATGACTTTTTAGAATATTTTGACATGGTGGTTTGAGTGCATTGACAGATCAATTTCCTAAAAGATTCATATCCTAGTGCTTGTACCCAATATCAATGGTCTATTTCTCTTCTTATCTGATACCCGTGAATACAGGGCCCTACCATGTGATACATATATTGGTAAAAAGAGAATAGATTAATTAATTCTGTAAATTAGAAAGTTGTGGTTTAAGTTACAATTGCATTCCATCCTAAGATACTAACAGGAACTAAAAAAAGTTGTGAAACCTCAAATGTTTTTTTCTGAAATGCCTAATCGTTAAGTATAGTCGTTATGTTTCTTTTTTCAGGCCAATAACACGGTTTTAAAGAGGACTGGAATGTCTAGGTCCTAGGAATTAAGATAATCTTAACTGCACTTATGTAAATAATAAATCAGGCTAGAGTGTCGGTGTAATTTAGCTAGTTTGACAGGTTTAAGAATCAAATCCTAAAAGTTTAGTACTACTAATTAAACTAATGGAGACATACACCAGTCGCTATCAAGAGTAGTTATGCCTAATTAATACCTAATGAACATGCAAATATACAAAGTACTAACAAGTGACCTGTCGAATATTCAAGACATGTTTCATGAGGAATGACACTGCATAATTATCATTTCCAATCAGCAAGCAAGAGGTTCAATCAAATTAATTAACTTGATGAACTATTTAAAAAAAAAAAAAAAGCAGTCCGATGCACTAAACTTCCGCTATGCGCGGGGTTTGAGGAAGGGCCGGACCACAAGGGTCTATTATATTGTCTGTAATTTTACCCTAGAGACTGTTTTCACGGCTCGGACCTGTGACGTCCTGGTCACGTGGCAACAACTTTACAGGTTACATCAAGGAAACTAATGCTAATAAAAATCAGTCTAAATTTATCATAGATTTGTTGCTTTGTTACCTGAATTGATCAGTGTAAGAAAGCTTGGAATTGATGGACTTGGGAGGAGTGTAACTGAAAAGAGATTTCAATGGCTGCTCTGGCAATTTTAGCCTTCTTTTCTTGATAGAAACTACCAAAACCTGAACTACACTTGTCAATGGGCTGCCCTCTGGTTTCACTTTCACATAAATTTTAGTTCCCCCAAAGAAGAGGAAACATGAAATCAACATGAATATTGCAGGAATAGCCAATCCAATGGACCAGCTAACGTCCGATTGCACATAAACCACTAGTGTCACAGACACCATTTGTGCAAAAGTTAAGGTGAAAAAGTACCAGTTAAAGAAACTATTGATACCCCTTTTACCAGATTCTGTATTTGGATTGAATTGGTCTGCTCCAAAGGCTAAATTACATGGCCTAATCCCAGCTGCCCCTATGATTAGTAGCCCAAATCCACTTAACAAAAATGCCATTTGCCACCCTGTTGGTCCTATGCAGTTGCTGATATCTTTGGATTCACAGTGAGGAGGATGCAGATTCTTGAATACTGCTGTTAATGATATCACAAACAACCCCTTCAAACAAGAAATAATGCCAATTAAACAACTGAATCAGCATTTCAAGATTTCTCTTAACTTTATGTTTAGACTTAAGAAGTGGTATTAGTCAGTACCGGAAAAGACATACAACAACAACAAACCCAGTAGTTTCCCACAAGTGGGGTCTGGGGAGGGCAAGATATACGCAGCCTTATCCCTACCCCTGGAAGGCCAAAGAGCCCTGTTTCCGACAGACTCTCGGCTAGAGAACGACTGAAAAAATAGGTTATCGCAACAAGTAGGAATAACAGCAAGATGAAGTACCAGAAAAGACATAATGGATGCAAATCCGAGTGTTTTGTAACGACCAAAGTAAGTATCAGATAAGAAAGCACCAAGCAAAGTGGCAAAGTTGGTGGTTCCATTGAAGACATTAATCAAAGTGGTGGCTGTGATATGCTTCAGGTTGAAAACTGTAGTGAGATAAACCAATAGGTTGGAAAGTGTGCCAATAGCTCCAAGTTTCTCAAAAGTTTCATTTCCTGAAAACATATGAAGCAATTCACTATCAATTCTTTAAAATGGTCTACAGTTAACTGATAAAAAAAGATAGAAAAAAGCACATTTCTTACCTATGATAAATGGCATAGCTTTCACTCCTCTGTAGTTAATCTTAGGTTCTTTCTCACTATCAGCATCTCTAATACTACTTGCTGTTTTCTCATTCTTTTCCGTGGCTTCTATCCTATTGTTATTCATTTTCACTTATCACTCTCTTTCTTGCTATTTTATATACTCCTCGGGAAGCTGAAATGGAGCATAAAGTAGCAATTGCAGATAAATAAATATAGAAAAGGGGTTCTTTTTAACCAACCACAACTCTACTATGTTTCTGTTACTTTCCCAGATCTAGCTCTAAAGATACTTTCTCATACTGGAATCCTCTTTCTTTTTTATAGTAGTATTTCCGGACACAAGGGTGAATCTTGTGGGCTTACTCATAATACCATAAATTCTATAATTAATCAATCAACTTTTGTAACTTCCACTAATGATAGATGTAAAGTTTAAAGTAATTCAAAGACGTGTGGTCAACCACAATAATGTTCTAAAGAAAATGAAAGAAGTGGGGACGATGGATGTATACACACTTCCCTTTTAGCAAGGGGGTGTCATCCAATATGTTGCTCCTCAATATTTTATATGTATAAATTGTTAGAAATTTGTCTGAATTTTCTTATCTTATTAGGATTTATTCTTTTACTTAAAGGAAGAGTACAATATTAACTATAATTGTTTTACTTTTCTTTAAAGAAAAATATTCCATGTTTGACAGATTTCTTTCTTGGAGAAAAATGTTGTGACTTTTAATATAGTATACTTCTTTAGTATATTTTTTTCTTATCTGATTTATCGTCACCAAAATTTGCTTTATTAGCTTACACGTGACGCCTTAATTATTTTTTATCCCAATATAAATGATATTGAAAGATAATACGTAGATATAGGTCTGTGTCGTTTGAGAATAATTCAAAGTAAACATTAGTTTTAAAGAAGCAAAACTTTAAATCATAACACTTCTAGATCCAAGAACTAACATAAAAGTTGGATTGTGATAATAAATCGACACTACTTGCTCAATATCTCGTGTACCACAGTGGGTAAACGGAAGAAAAACTATCATCCGTGTGAACTATTTGTCAATGTACTAGTCAATACATACTGGTAAAGTCTAATTTTGTTACGTAATTTTGTCTTAAGTGTAGA